GGATGGAGTACACCGGTGAACACATTGTACAGAGACACCTACACGTTGCGAGCCTATCAGCGTTCCACTGAACTATCTCGAAGAGTCCGTGGTCGTCATCTGTACTCCGCTAGATGAATGGATCAACAACAACAACAACATCGAGGCCTCTCATCATTTTATCACACATCGTCTTATTACATCTACCGATGTTGTACCCCATCATTTTTGTAGATATAAAATACATATACAGTTTAAATTATTTAAAACTTGTATAAAAACATCCATCCAGCATAGATAGCAAGTATACAGAAAATATGCACACATAGCACGTAATATATAAAATACTTCATATTTATGTGTAAGATGAAAGGAACTATGCACTCACTTGAAAAGGTGGTGATTCGGTACTAGGACAACACTTCGTTTACTTTAAAATAATTTCCTTCGACGAAACCTAGTATTATTACCACTAGATTTTAGTCTAATATTTCCTGTGACTAACTATTAGTCTTATTGTTATTATTATTATATAAGCGTTTAAACAATACTTTCCAACCACTATGTACAGGCAGGGGCCAGACATAAAACACATGAGGGCAGAACCATTTTGGCGTATAGCACTTCTGAAATCCAACAACCCTATGCGGCCCTTTAAACCAGATTCCTCGTACCGCGAGTAGTAAAAAAGATATTATAATGACACTTATATAATTCATAATATTAGCTCAAATATTTATTATAAGTTCATAATAACAATATTAATTTTAAATATAAGTTATATTAAATTAGGGTAAGCATAACTTACTTACAAGGTGATTTTAGCTAGGAGTCCGGCTCTGCAGGGGCAGAACTTCGTCGCTGAATCTTTCTATGAAAGATCTGTGCAGCGCTTCAGCGCTCACCTTACTATACTTAAAACCACAGAAAGAGAAGTCGAATCATGAGGGACCGAAATGCTCGGGGGATAAGGAGAGAAAGACTCTTGAATCAAGAGAATGGTGTAAGAAATATGAGAGCCCAAGACTCTTATTTATACTAATTGAATTTTCAAAAACTACACTCCCTAATTACTTAATGACCTTTTAGTTATATAAACAATTAAACACCCATCTATAATACTATTTTAAATGGATTTAATGATATTTGTACTAAACTAATATCGAAAGAAACTCAACATTAGTCTTATAATGACTGCATCGTCGATACCTTTCTAATGATATATACATATATACATACATATATATATATATATATGTGTGTGTGTGTGTGTGTACGTATATATGATCTATACTTTATTTTAATACGTAAATATGCTATTATAATTTGTAACTCATTCATACGAACTCCATTTTTGACGTTCTTTATATCCACGCGTACGTGGAGACGTACTCTATAAGTTTCGTTTAGACTCTATCGGCTAATTTTGACTTTATTTTTAAAGTTATATTTTTAACAGGCCGGGACAGGATTGGTCCGTTAAAATCTCATAACTTCTTCATACGAAGTCAGATTTGGGAGTTCTTTTTATAGATACTCTCAGTTTAACATATTCTACGACTTTCGTTTAGATTTCTAAGGCTAAAAGTTGTTCTATCGTAAGTTCAGTATTTACGCTTCTCGGTGTCGCGCTGGTTCCATCGTGAAACTTCGACGGGTCATAACTTCTTCGTTATAACTCGGATTTCGGTGTTCTTTATATCCCCGGAATCCTTGTTTCGACCACAACAACTTTATCTAGAGATATCGGGCTTATCTCACACTTTAATTTTGACGCTTATTTTTATTCTTTATTAATTATACATTTATAATTAAACATTAAGCACATAAATACACATAATTCACATGATACTCAAATATTTCATCTTTATTACTTCAAAAGAGTTATAATAGTTGACCTAGAGTATTACATTGTCAAAAATGCTTAGCCCCGAAACCCGTGCGTCAGCCCCCTTCCTCATTTCGAAATCCTAAAGTGTATGAGTGCATTGTGAATCTTGAAGAGCCCTCTTTGGTTTCCTTTTGGATCTTTTGGACTAGAAGGAAGAACCTTGAGGTTCTGGTGTTTCACTCAAGGCCTTGGATCCAACATCTACTTCCCTTGATGTATATTCCTTTTGGATCTAGTTTTAGCTCAAAGTTGTCATGTTTTTGTCTCCATCTTGATCTTTGTGAGTAGGAGATACTCCAAGACGTTTAAGTTGTCCTTTCAGATGCTTTAGGGTATGTTAAGTCATAAAAATGTGTTCTTGGTCATTAGTTTCTTTCCATACATGAGATAGATTGTCTTAATGGGTAAAGAAGATAGGGTTTTTGGAGCTAAACTCTTAATATCCATGCTAAACCATAAAGTTGGAAACTTTATGGTTAAGGACATATTTTTGGGCTAGATCTGGATTTTGGATGTAAGTGCTTAAGGATTAAGCACTTAATGGTTATAGTGGTGGGCAGCTACATACAATGGGCGTACCAAGGGGTACGTTATACGTATGTGGTTAACTCCCCGACTTTAGCCAATCATGTACTACGCCCCACATACGTATGGAGTACGCCCAACGTACTCACAGAGTCAACTCGATCGACTTTGACCTGGATTTTAACTAAGGTTTGACCTAGGGGTATTTTAGGTATTTTGATATGTATGCTAAGTTTTTGTCATTGAATTTATTAAGGTGATTGGTAGAGTTGATCTCGGAGCAGCGTGTTATTCAGTTTACTCATCTGTCTGTAGGGTGGGTATTCTCACTGTATCCATGGGATGAAGGCACCAATGTCGGCCCATTATTGTTTTATTTAGACTGATAATTATTGTGTGGTTTACATGAGTTTGTATGATGGATCGAAATAGATCCCATGGCGGGGCCTATTATCTTATGTTTGGGTTGGAACAGACCTCAGGTCGGGGCCCATTATTGTATGATCGGGTTGAAAGATACCCTAGGGCGAGGCCCTATGGCGAGACATATATGTGTTGATCGGGTTGAAATACACCACAGGGAGCGGCCCATATATGTATATTGGATTGGTTAAACCGAATTGTATGTTTTGGTATGTGGTACTTTGGGGAACTCACTAAGTTGTGTGCTTACAATTTATGTTTATGGTTTCAGGTACTTACGGTTCGAAAGGGAAGGGCCCGACGTGATGACACAATATCATCCCCTCATGATTTCCGCATTTGAAGTGTTGTTGTGAATATTATGTCTTGGTGTTGATTTGGAACAATTAATGAATGATTTGATAGACTTTAAATGAAAACCTTTTTTCTGTTTTCTGGACGTTACACTGGGAGGAAGTGTGGTTGGGTGAGTTGACACTTATGGACCAGTTTCCTAGGTTGCATGCATTGGAAATGGAGAAAAAGTGTTTGATTATTCATAAATGGTAAGAGAGTGGTTGGTGTTGGAATTGGAATAAGGAATTTTTTTTTCTGTTTTCGGGACGTTACACCGGGAGGAAGTGTGGTTGGGTGAGTTGACACTTATGGACCAGTTTCCTAGGTTGCATGCATTGGAAGTGGAGAAAGAGTGTTTGATTATTCATAAATGGTAAGAGAGTGGTTGGTGTTGGAATTGGAATAAGGAAATTTTAGGTGGTGCCACTACTGAGCAACTCTCGACTTTAACTGATCTTCTTAGTCATGTAGAACTATGTGTTGGTAGGAAGGTTCTAAATAACGTAAGGCGTGACTTGGCGGCAATGTCAAGCCTCAAGCTTTTCCGAGCCTTGGTGAGTCATGATGTTTGTAAGGTGTGACTTAATGTGGTAATTTTCTATATAATTAATATTTTTATATGTATTTTCAACTATTATTCATTTTTATGCACATATATGAGTTAAGGCGGCGTTTTGGCAAAGCTTGACTGCAGGTGCAAGCCTTGAAGTCGTGGTGCGCCATGGAGGAGCCATGACAAGCTTTTTAGAACCTTGGTTGGTAGTGACAAATGGGAGCGAGAGTTGGAGCCTAATGGAGTGCTCCTATATTGATGATGTAACCTTAAACTCGACAGTTGTTGGTACTAGATGGTGTAAGTTTCTCCCGATTAAGGTTAATGTTTTACTTTGGCATATTTTTCATGATAGAATCCCCATTAGTGTGAATTTGGAAAATAGAAACATTGATTTGCCTTTCGTTTTATGCCTTACTTGTGGGGTACGTGGGAAGATGTTAATCATTTTTTTATGATGTGTGATGTGGTTGCTCAAAGTTGGATGAAGATTGTGAAGTGGTTAGATATGTCATTTCCTCATTTCTCAAGTGTTGCGGATCTTTTAGCTTGGATAGATTCGGTTAATGTGGTGGCTCTAAGGACAAGAATTCTCAAGGTCATTGTGCTTACCACAATATGGATGCTTTGGCGGTATAAAAATAATGTTGTTTTCCAGTCTAATGCATTTTCTAGAATATTATTCATTTGATTCGTTTTTGAATAAGAATCATTGAATTAGCATAACTTGGACTTTGTGGTTACAAAACCAATGTTTTATAATTCTTCGTAAATTTTTTATTTCTTGAGCCTCTTGCTAGTAACCTGTTTATAAAATTCAGATGTTCTAAAAAAAGATCCGAACATTTATACTCTTATCAGAGAGAAAAGAAACCCCGTATTTGCACTACCCCTCTTACATATCCACATGCTATCCTCCATATATTCAAAATTGGACGATGGACATACCAAAAAACCGAAGGCGAGTGCTATCTCCCGATGGTCAACTGAATGACAAAAACGACACAAGTTACCATATAATTATACATAATTACGGTATACATCAAACGTAAAAGAGAAATTAAATATCCACCTACCTTTCATGTTTATACATTTTTTTCGGTGTATTACGACATAGCCGTTTGTTAGTCTTTCCGAACAAACTATCAATACACAAATACACGTAACTCATTAATATTGTAAATAATTTTTTTTGTTGTGTGAATAGAAAAGGTTTCTGCTTCATCTCGTGGACACAACTTATAGTTGTAATTAAATATTTATCACAAAAAGAATATATTATACAAAATTGACTTTGAAAATAATTATTTTAAATATTAACCCACGAAATAATGACCCATACGATGAATCATGATATACAAAACTTCTTAATCAAAATTTCATTAAAACTAAGTTCTAAAATAGCGCAAATTCCATAATCGACAGTAAGTACAGATTGATAATCTTTCTGGTGATCTAATTAACACCCAGAAGTCGATTATGTATAAGCTATATATGATTATATACATTTACGGATGAACAGCTTCAACAAGGCAACAAGAATGTAGAAATTTCATGCCCGAACAACTCTACCACCTGGTGATCTGATCCGAAAAACATGCTCTTCGCCCGTGCATTTATCTACTTTAACCACCCAATGACTTGGCCTCCCGCCCTTGTTGCCGCCGTGGCCACCGTTCTTGCCACCACCATTAACAGACCGTCCGGCGATTCTCATCAATAGCAACCCTTCTCCAATCGGCAACAAGTGACTGTTTAATCTGCTCCAAACCCAGGAATCTTTCCAAAAAGCGTTATACCCCAAAACAATCGTACTCTTTTCTCTTTCGGTTTGTATCGCTCCCAAAATCCCTTCATGATTCTCTAGATTGCAGTCGATAACTACAAGATCGGCAGATTTGTAGTCATTTGACAAGAGAGTTTGAGCATTTCCTACAACAAACTCTACTTGGTTCGCATCTGAGCTAAGAGCTTGCTTGGAAGAGTGAAGCTCCTCGATTCCCTTCACGATGCAGATCAGCCTGCCACCAGTTTGATGAGATGCAGCAATGAGGCCTTGGATGGTGGAGCCGGCCGCCTCAGCACATGCAACCACCATGAGTTGAGCGTTATTTCCGGCTGCAATGGCCGATATGAACTCTGCAACATCTGGTTCATTAGCTCTCTTACCCTGAAATTATGAAAAGAGGAGTTTAGGAGATTATACATTGAATCTTTGAACGAAACATTGTTCTTTTGTTATATTTTTAACAATGGCTAAATTGAAATGAAAAAGATTGGTTCAAAAAGTTGATCAAGATTTCTCATAAATTAACCTACCATTTTCATGGTTTTGATGTAAGCTTCAGTGGCGTTTTCAGCTGACCAGTAGTTCATTCTCTTTTCTGTATTGTCTCGTTGAAGCTTTTGGAGAAGAAGAAGGCTATTTGAACTTGAATATGAATGATTATGCTTTGCCCATGTGGGTGGCTATATATAGATGCCAAATTAAATAAACAATATATGAGATTGATACATTTAATTCACAAGTGGGGTTGCTGGCTTGACTCCCTGACTTTCATCCGAAGGTTTATGTATCATAACAGTGTAAACCAGTTGGCCCATTACTCAACAAATTTAAAGGATAATGTGTAGGATCAAGGCTGCATATTCCTAAAGCATTATTAAGAGAGATCATGGGTTCAAATCTCTAAGAGACTTAGATATTGTTTAAGATTAGATTAGGAGAAGCATAGGTTGTTGTTTCATAATAATAATAATAATAATAATAATAATTGCGGAATAAAATGCTAATGACCAAGATTTTTTTTTTCTCTTGTATTGGATGATATTTTATGTCCAAGTGTAAACTCTATCTCTATGCCTATGAGTATACGAAATCAATAAATATATTTTTTAGTTTGGATGTGGATGCAAACAATTACCCTAATCATGTGAACCACATAAATTTTGTTATTTATTTTTCCTCACATCAAATATTTGTTGAGTTGTAGAATCCGATTGTTTTATTTGAACCTGATTGCATCTATAACAACTGAGCAATGATACTTGGATGGTTGGTGAGTTTTGCCTCTTCATTATATTAGGCCCGACATTTTCTAAATAAACACATTGTTGCACTTGTAAACCCTAATTCAAAATCAACAAAAAAACTTATATATATTGTTTGCATGTAACGTAGTATGATTACCTCGATCATGTGAACCAAATAGATTCTTTTGTGTTCTTTATTATTTTTGTCGCATCTATAATCGTGTGTGGGTGTGTTGTTCAATATCCTGACAATATTGTGTGTGTGTGTGTGTTTGTGTTGATCATATACCTACCACTTAGTTTGTTCTACTTCCCCCCTTGTCGTAGTTTCTTTTCTTCATAACCAGTTGGTTGTTGAGTGTCTAGTTATCTCTCACCGGTACAAGAAATATTGGCATCACCAGCGACCCTTTAGCGGCGACATGTAATTGACGTGTTACATGTCACCGCTATTGCCCCTTGTCGCCGCTAAAGGGTCGCCGATAATGCTCGCAAACGACGATCCACATCAACTTACCCCAACTGTCCTATTTGTTTTCAATCTAACGGTTGTAGAAAAGACGCTGACTTTTCCCTCCAAGGAGTCACCGCTATTACTCTTATGTCGCCGCTAATACCTATGCGTCGCCGAATTTCCCAACTAGTTTCTTGAAAATGTAATAATAATTAACAAACAAATATCTTTGATAAATATAATGAATCAAGAATACATAACACATCAACATATGTTTAATAGGTTTATCAGATGGAAAAAGAAAACTCTCCAGAATTCGACAAAGAGTTGTCAACCCTTTCAATGGGTTCACAAATGGATGTTTATACTTACACTGCGTGCATAGTCAATGGTGTTAGGTTTATGGTACTTAGTCGTGATGCACAACGCAAAACACAAAACTCTGGGGTTCTAGCGGTTGGTGAGAATGGAGAGAAATATTATGGCCAGTTAGAAGAGATTATGGAGGTGCAATATCCATATGATTATTCGACTGTAATATTTCGGTGCAAGTGGTTCGATATGGGAGATATTCCTGATGATAATTTCATAAGTATCGACATGCTTCGCAAGCCAAACAAGTGTTCTACATCCGCGAGCCTGTTAATCATCGAAGAAACCAAAACAAAAACCCTTTTTGTTTCGTCGAGCATTTTATCATCGAAATATTTGGGATCTACCATCCGACAATACTCGTGTCCAAAATGCTTACAGTGACTCTGTCCAAGATGTCGACAATGTGGAGGCCGAAAATGTTAACATAGTTCAAAACAACTCTTCATCTGGAGCTAGACTTTTTATCGACTTCTCACAATACTTTCAAAACAATGTTGATGTAGCTTAAAACAATGTTGATTATGACGATGAAGACGAGACTGAAGTACCTCCCCCAACGGGTAGAATCGATAATGTTTCCGATGAAGAGACTGATTATGATGATGACGATTCTGATTATGATACTGATGAAGAAGACATTGAAGTATATGATGAAGATTCTGATTAAAAAATCAAATGTTTTTTTTTTGTAATAGAAACTTTATTTGAAATGTACATTTAATTCATATTGTTTGTCTAACTTTTATTTATATTGTTTGTCTATATTGTATATCTTATAATTTTGCAAGGTAACTAACTTTTATTCATATTGTATTTCTATATTGTACATCTTGTAATTTACAGGCTACAGATGAGGCTTACATAGGCGATACTCTTGGCCATGATGGCAGATGTTATGGGCTTGGACATGGAGGTGATGGAGCGGGGAATCCACCACCTCTAGTAGGCTTTGGTCGTGGTCAGCACGAACAAGATGGTGAGTTTTATTATTATATATTTATTAACTTTTTTATTATTTTATAATAAGTTATCGTGACTAATATTTTTAATTATATTTTTTCAACCGAACTTCCCAAAAAAAGAAGGGGCATATCAAAAAATATCGAGCTGGGAAAGTTGATACAGGCAAAGGGAAAGCCTGTGGATTTGGATTTCGACAGGGAGATCACATATTCCCCCATTGGGAAGCGTGGTAATTGGTTCACACATGAAATTGGGAGCTATTTATGGAACAACGTCCATTTGAACGTATATGGTTGGGATAATGTTTCCCCCGCCTTAAGGAATGCAACAGTTGTGTATTTAAAGGTAACTTGGATACAATTTTAAGTTTAGTTGTTATTGTTATTTAATTAACTAAATTTTTTGTATTTTGCAGAATAAATTTGATTTGGATAAGGTTAACATGGATCAGGAGCATGCTCAATTATTGTGGAGCATTGATTCGACTCTTGCAAAAGTTTACAGAGATCGAAAAAGTAAAGTTCATTCTTATTTTAAGGAAATCGGGGGGACTACAGATATCCTGGCCGCATTAAACAACCTCTCCCCCCGATGGTATGTTACGTGAAAATTGGGCGAAGGCAGTCGAACATTTTCAAACGCCAGAATTTTGAAGGCGTTCGGCGTCAAACAAAGAATATCGTGCAAAACAAGTAGTTCTAAACAAAGGAGGGTCGAGCTCATACAGCAATGCATGTTTCAAAGAAGTAAGTTATGATATATTTAAATATTTATTTAAAGTATAAGTAAACTAATTTTTAATGTTAAATAGGATATCAGTCGAATTGAAGTTTTTCGTAAGACTAATTCCAATCGACAAGGGGTATTTTATAGCCCTGCAGTCGAGCAACAATACGTAAGTGGTTAATTTATATTTTCATATAAGTGTTTATATTGTCAAGGATATTTAGTAATCTAATTTTTATGATTTTTATTATTTTTTGAAATTAAATAATGCTTTACTCCAGGAGATCAACCAACGAACCCAAGCTACTTCTGAAGAAAGCGGTCTAACACCCACTGATATAAAAAACTGTTTTGAAAGAATATTGGGTGTTCGACGCGGACATATCAGAGGCATTGGACATAAACCCACAACCGCTGTGTCCATTTACGGTCAGGAACAACCAGTGACACAAGAACAACCACAATCACAAGTAATTGTTAGTTTAAGTTGAAAAGTACAATGATATAATGGAAAATACAATGCTATAATGGAAAGTAGAATGCTATAATGATATGTTGGTTATTATTTTATATGTTGATATTTTGTAGAATGGTATAATTATAATGTTATTATCATATGTTGGTAATATATTTTGTTTTCTTTATAGTTGGAAATGTTGCAAACAATACTAAAGGACCCGGGCTATTCTGCAACATTAGAAGAGTGGTTTCGCTCATTGCCGCCACCAAATAATGAAGGAAATAATGAGGATGAGTAGTTACTTTAAGAGTTTATTAAATGTTTTGAAATTTGGAAGAATACTTTAGAATGGTATGGATTAATATTTTGGATTTGTTGTGTATGGATTAATATTTCTATAAAAAGTTATCAGATTTTATAAATGCTATATTGTTTTTATTATAAATTTAATGTTAAATAAATAAAATAAAATTAAAAATTAAAAAAAAACAAAACAAAACTGAATTAGCGGCGACATCTTCTGTGGCGACAAAACTGTATTAGCGGCGACAACCTGTATTAACGGCAACATATCATTAGCGGCGACGGTCAACCTTTAGCGGCGACTCTAGGAGTATTAGCGACGAGGTATTACCGGCGACGTATTTGCAGTGATGTGTCGCCACTAAAGGTATTTGTAGCGACGTGTCGCCGCTAAAGGTATTAGCGGCGACATACCGAACCTTTAGCGACGACTGGCGTCGTTGTTGCCCAATCTTCTTGTAGTGCACATGTACGATTGGCTTGAGTTTGTTTGGTGTGGACTAATGGGTTGTTGAGATTTAACCTTTTGGGATAAAACGAAGTGGTCTTAAATCCCAAGGTCATATTCATAGCTCAAAAGATGCATTAAGCATCCAAAAATAGCCTTAAACACTAGTGATGTGTCCCTAAACAAGAAAAAAGTTGTGTGTAGGAAATTTTTGGTCTTTATAGAAGTGATCATCTATATTCTTAAACGGAAGAACCCTTTTGAAGATGCATTTTTGGGACATTTTTAATGTTTATGAATGTCCAATATTGTTCATTGTACTTCGAGGCGCCATTCGAGACACTAGCTTGCCCTAAGGAGGGTACAAGACCCTCTACCATATCCTAACTTACTTATAATTATCATTAGATTTCCAGGACACTAACTTCATAATAAATATAACACGAATTGATTAACAATTAATTAATTCAACAGTTTCCTTGATGTTTCTTGTCTAATTGCACAAAACCACAAACTGCCATGTCTCAATATTTAATCTATTCGCTGTCATGTTCTTCACCAATGGGACAGTTGAAAACTTCCATGGAAGAATCCGGCTCTAATTTACTTTGTTTAATGATTTGCTACAAAAATTTTAGAAACAAAACCATGTTAGTCCTGACACAAATCCAGCAAAATCAGTATTATAAAAACTGTAAACCGTACCACTAGTTGTCCTTACTCCTTATATCTTCAAAGTCTTCATATGTTGATTTCAAACTACGTGGAATCATGGGATTAGTCATTATCAACCATTAATGTTTGTGTTTATTTCGGTTTAAAATTCTTATTACAAGAACATCTCACTTAATTTAAGCTTTAATCTTATATTCAAAAACATAGTCAAATAAGA